GAATATATATATAATGTAGTGTACTCGTGAATGTATTGTAGTATACTCATGTAACATCATACCGGCAGAGCTGCTTTTGTGATTCCTGTTGGCATAGTCCGGGTGGTCTGTAACACCGTCCCATCGGCAGCGGTGGTCTTAAAACGCGGCATATCTGGATGTGCAGTTAAGTGCTTCTGGTGTACTTATACAGATGGACGCTGACGATGCAACTGGCCCGATTTCATTCACCGTTATCTCGTGAATGGTACCCTTCAGTGTTGTGTCTGAGATCGGTGTGGGTGTGTAGTGATGACGGGGCGATAGAGTATGTCTACCATAGCAGTACTATAGTATGCGGACCTGTTGAAAAGGTTGTACAAATGTATGTCTGTGTGTATATTGATGATAAGTATGTCTGCAAAAGTATATGGGGAATCCCTGGGGCGATATTACAGTGTTCGTGTGTATGAATGATGATACTTTCGTGTCAAGAAATGAACATGCACTTTGAGCGTCATGGTTATTTTGCGGTGTAATAATCCTCCGTTTTTTTACAATAAAATTATGCCATAGGTATGTCATATTGAAGGCTATTTATGTATTTATATATTTTATAATCATAGCCAACTGATAACAATAATACATAGACATGATGATGCATGTGAGTTTATCTGTGTGTTTTAGAGGGCCATGGTCTTCTTGTATAATTTAGAAGGCTATGAGAGGGCTATATTTTAAAAAGTCTATTATGTACATAGCCTTCATGAGACAAGGAGGTTATGGCTATGATTTATTTAGTATCACTAACAGGCGAAAGCCGCAAAGCGTGGGGTTGTGAGCTTGGAAGCCCCACCAGAGACTTTATTGTCGGTATACGTTACATGTATTGATATATATATTGCTATATATATATAAACACCCACACCCATTCATGCACATACGTATAGGGCATATTACTTATGAATTGTCGACATATTGTATTAGAACTTGTATCATGTATGTATGCGCGACTGATTGTTTTCACTGACATGTGTGTGGAAGTTAAGAAACAATAAAGGAATATGGGCGTTCATAGGTATAGTTGTAGACGAACAGCTGAATATACAGTTATAGACCAAGGTATAGGTCTATATAGTTATCGGATGAAACATCAACAGGCGATTGGCACAGGAGCAGATCAACTGACATTCGAATCTTTCAAGCAGGACAAAGCAATGAAGTGGTCATTCTAATCATAATATACTGTTGAGCAGAGTTACAATTGTAGTGGCCATGTTAAATAAACCATATCCAGTACACAGATGTATTTGCAGACCCCCCACTGTTCTCTTTATTTTCTGATCGACTTCTGACTTCCCTACAGCAGGATATAACCTGCGCTATCGGCTTCAAAGCAACTGATGGGCCGCACCAATCGCGAAGGTCTGCCCTCATCCTGTAGAACATCGCTGCCTTCAAAATGGGCCAAGAGAGCCTGCGCCCCGTCAAAGTGTCCTGTGTCCCCGTCTATATTGTACCGGTCCTTTTTTCTGTGTATCCGTATGTAGACATTCTGGTTACTGTGCTTCAGGCCCAGAAGGTACTGGGCCTGCTCAGCCTCTGGGGTGTATGACAGCGCCGCAACCAGAAAATCACCGTCTTGCTTGTTTTCCAGGTACAAATCCAGGAGCTGGAGCTTCTTCAGCATCGGAAGGTTTTCCGGGAGTTTCAGAAAATACCTACATGGGTGTAGAAGTATGATATAGACCTAGGTGAGTATATATTCATATATGTTCCATAGGGGCATATATACGCAGGAGGTACACATGTCAAGGTGCACACACATGACAACTCGCGTAGATATTACAGGCAATACGTCCTAGCAATGATAATACTATATATATATATATATATTTACTATATATATAATATTTTTAATATATATATATATATATATACAATATAATATATGTTTATTAATTTTATTAATATATATATATATATATATATATATACTACTATACGTCTATAATATCACACACACACA